CAGGCGCAGCACACTGAACGCCAGCCAGCCGCCCCAGCTAACGCAGACGGGGGTGAGGCAGCTCAGCAAGGCCGTCGCAAAGGTGGGTATGAAGAGCATCAGCTTAGCGCCATAGCGACGCACCAGTAACCCTGCTGGAAATTGAGTCACTATATAGCCCCAATAGAAGCTCGACAATATATAGGATTTTTGTTCCTCCGACCAGTCGTATTCCTGCAAGCGGAGAGTTAGTTAGAGCCGGTAGGTATATATAACAAAGATGCTGGCTTGAGTTCAATTTACCGGAAAATCTGGATTGGCGGTCGCTGCATCTGTCATGGCCACAACGACCACGCTGATATTCAATTGTGCTATACAGTTCACAGCTGTGGCCAAGAAAAGCAGCACCGCCTGCAGATGTCGTACGCCCAGGCAGGGGCCTAAAAGAAGGAGATGGCCCAGGTAAGAAATATGAGTTTAGATTACATAGTCTACAAATGGAAAATAATAAGACCATCCATGCTTTATATACCCTATAAAACTATTTAAGATCTGTGTGAACGAACTAGAACATTATACCCAGAACCCATTAAAAATGGGAAATTAGGGTATAATAGCTTTGTGAAAAGTCTGTAACAACAGGAATCATCGCAGACCCCATAAAGTATAAATATTCTTGCGTCTGTCCGTTCGTCAGTCCGTATAAACATCTAGATCTCAAAAATTATAAGAGCTAGAGAAATTTGGCATGTATACTCGTGTAAACCATACGCATTACAAGTCTATCATATTTTTTGATAACTCATCCGATTGTTTTTACCGAGAATAATCGATAAATTGATTTTGTTTTTTTCAGCCTAATTTGAACATTAACAGACCTGTTGACTTTAGATTTTGTAATTTACAGATTTTCGACACTACGCCCCTTCGGTCTTCTCTTATTTCTTTTTTCCCATAAATTAAATACTTTCTTGCTACACAACATTTTTCACAGGGATTTTTGTGTTTTTCATAACAATTTATTCATTAAATCACTTATCCAATTAGTTCACATACTATATATATCCTTCATTTTTTAATCCTCTCACACTTCATAATATTCACCTTTATTTTCTAAATCCGTGTCCATTTTTGACAGTCAGCTATCTCTAACACACACTCCTGAGCTACGGCGTCTACGCGTGTCAATAACTGAAATACGTCTGAGCATTATTTGGAGAGCGACGTCTTGAATATATTATTGACACAGACCCGAACGGAGCAGAGCAGAGCAGAGAAGACCAGGCCGGGCCGAGACTTAACTTTTTACATAAGTTCGACGGGGAATATATAAAAATAGTTTGGAATAATATATTTCTTTATAATATTTGAGCAGGGAAATTTATGGTTTCAATATGCCATAAAAATTTCCCTAAGCTTATTTTTAAATACTATAGAGTATGAATCAGAACGGCTTTATTAGTAGCTGTTTGAAGCTTGTGATAACTATTTAAATGATTAAATACATGCAAATTTTAATATACTCCCTTAGACATGTAATCAAAATTTCACTTAAAAGTATATGATATGATTTATAAAGCCCTAGTTGCCACTATTGCTGTGGCAAATAGAGGTAATATATGAAAAAAAAAATGAAAAATGTTTCCTGTATACATGGAAAATGTTTATTAAAATTTAGCTATTTAAATTTATAACAAGTAAAGATTCAAGTATCTCCTATATATATTAAAAACCCATACAATAATAATTGAGTAGAAAAAGTTAAAAATTAACTACACTCTTATTTATTGTAGTTCCACTAAATTCACAATACATTGTAATAGAAAAAAAAAAACATAGAAGTGAAATAAATAATAATAAGTATTATTGAATCAGTAACTCACTTGTAAAGCTATTATAGATTAAGCTAGAGAGTATAATTAGCTATGTTTTTAAACTCATTCACGAATGTGAAATGAGTATATTGGCTTTTTAAAGTTTTCTACTCATTTAATAAATGACACGTGATATAATGATATCATCTACATAACATCGTCTACCATAACACCATAAAGCAGTTACCATGCAGTAAAAAGTAAAAAAAAAATTAACAAATAAAAAAATAATAATAATAATAATAATAAATTATCAAAAACAATTGAATAATAAATCATCAATTCCATTGGATAATTAAAAGAGCAATAATAATTTAAATTGAGCGAAAAACACACAAAGTTTTACCTACGTACACCCCACATAAAGACGTGTCTGTTGCAGCGCCACATCAGTGGGTCAGCTGAACTCCTTCGGATCGGACGTCTAGTGGAGTGCTCTTCATCTTCTTCTTTCTTTGGTGGGTAAGCTACTGATCATATTAAATATTAGAAGAGCCGAAGAGCCGTATATCCGAAGAGGGGTTTAGTAGAAGCACCGAGGAACCTACTTATCTGAAATCTTTTCACTTTTCCTATATGTCAAAGCAGAAATAGTAAAGCCGCAGCAAGCAACAGCGAAAGATGCGCGAGGCAGACAAGAAATTAAAATACATGCAAAAACGATTTTAAAATTTTTAATTAAAAATCAACGCAGTTGTCCAGCTCACAGCTCAGTACAATCAATGCTTAACCGCATTTTTCGTTTCACTTTTTTGTTTGTTTCATTTTTGTTCTCTCCGCCAGTCAATACTGAATCATGCCGAGCACTGCGTATACGCAATGTTTGTGTGTACATTGCGTATACGCCGCATGCCACGCCGCATATTAATTTAATTTGTTGCTTAATTTCTACTTATTTTACAGTTCACAGCTAATCTGGCCTTACATCTATTTACTTAGATTTCCTTTTCGCTTTTCGATTTGGCTTTCCATTGCTCCAGCTGCTGCTGTTGTTGTTGTTGCTGTTGCTGTTGCTCGGCATCGCGCGGCTTGAGAAAGTCAACCGCATCCCACGGCTGCTGGTCGGTCGTACCCCAAATTATGTACACCAGGTTGCCAATGAAGAACACAATGGCCGTTAATGCGAACACAATTTGCCATTGAGTGCGCGAGCTCTGCGAAATAGATAAAGCGACGAGATATTATCAAAAACAGTTGAGACTAAATTAGGTGCGAAGCAATCGACTAGAAAATACCCTAAAATCTGGTTGCAAACGTTTTCTTTTCCTGCTGTTTAGACAGAAGCTACTCTAAGTGTGAGCCAATTAAGGGTAGACGACTATTACTTTTTTTTACTCTGTAATTAATATCCCTATTCTCAGGTCATTGGCTTTGTCAAAAATATGTTGAGAAACAAATAAATTACTAAAACAAACAGACAACAATATCTGAATTGATAGAATAGTAAGAACGGATAAGCAGGCGGATAAGCATCAATGGCACGGATAAACGGATAATTATAGAAATAGTCGGATAAATAAAGGAAGGAAGACAGACAGATAATCAGATGGGAAAATAGGCGAATAACAAGTTAGATAAGTAGACGAAGAAATAGATGAATAAGTATAATTATATGCATTAGTGTATTAAAATACGGATAGGGATAATTAGAAACTGTTGAATAAACAATCATTTGATAAGACAGACTGTCTGACAGATGGATAAATGGGCGGATAGAAATACGGATAAATAGGCGGATAGACATTTTTATATTTTACAGATCAAGACAAAACAAAATATGAATATAAAGACGGATTGACATTTTCATATAGGAAAACAAAGTACATAGATTGGATATATGGGCGGATAAAATGTCGGATAAATAGACAAATAGTTGTAGTATGTAGAGAAGGAAACACAAATACTCATGAGATGGAATGGCATGCATATAGATAAAAAGACAGAAGGATTTATCGAGCTGGTCATTCAGAATAATGAATGATAGAGAGAGGAGTCAAGGGATATGGAATGATAAAAGGACGAAAAAATGGAAAGACAGAACCAACAAATTTCAAACACATTTGCCAGCAAATGAATGAATAAAAGTGTAGACGGACGGTAGGACAGTCGGACTTATAAACAGGCCGGCTAAGCTCTATAGAACTCAACTCGATTCCCACTCAAATATAAATAAATGCCATCAATCTACCCTTTTAGTTAAAGGTATTTACAAAATTACTTAACGCCATCTTGGCCAATTCGGCAGGCTTCAGGCTCGAACTTACCGGCTCGGTAACAATGACGCCCACCAGCAGCGGCGACAGCAGCGGAGGGATGTTGGTCGCGCAATTGGTAATGGCCATTAGGATGCCGGAATGATTGGGCGACATGTCGATAATGGTTAACATGTTTCCGATGCCGGAGCCCGCATTGAGGCCGGCATTAATTGCCATCAGAGCGATGGCCAGGCCCGCTTGGCTCTTGTCAAGGAAACCGATGCCAATCAAGGCGGCCGCCGGACCCCAATACGATATCGTGTTGATGGACTTGCGCAGCGTCGTCAGCGACAGCCACTTCCTGGCCATGATCAAATCGGCAATGGCCAGATACACATACGACATACACCACATGGCCAGGAAAGGCAGAGCCGAATAGAGGGCGTTGCTCTTGATGTCCATCTCGAGTACGCCGTGCATGTATGCCGGCGTTTGCAGCTGCATCGTTGAGTTCGCCCAGCCCTGGGCGCTGCGCACAACAAGCAGGGCGTAGAACGGCGCCGAGGTCCAAATCGCACGCCATGGTATCGCTATCTTCTGGTCATGGAAGCCGTCGTTGCGTCTCATCGAACGCTCAATGTAATCACGTTCATCGCCGCCAATCAAACGTGAGCGCGGAGCATTATCCGCAGCGAGCAATAGCCAAAGGATGCACCAAATGCCACAGAGTCCGGCTGAAACGTACGATATGCCCGGCCAGCCCAGCGAACTCTCGGCAATCAAGCCACTAATAGCCATGGCCATAACGGAGCCACAATCGGACCCTGAATAGGCAAAGACGCCCAAACGATTACGATCCTTGGGCGGCGACCATTTGGCCAGATGCTCGTGAATGCAGGGAAAGATTAGGCCCTGAAACAATCCGATTATCAGGCGCAGCACGCTGAACGCCAGCCAGCCGCCCCAGCTAATGCAGACGGGGGTGAGGCAGCTCAGCAAGGCCGTCGCAAAGGTAGGTATGAAGAGAACCAGCTTAGCGCCATAGCGACGCACCAAAAAGCCAGCTGGAAATTGAGTCACTATATAGCCCCAATAGAAACTTGACAGTATATAGGATTTCTGTGCCTCTGACCAGTCGTATTCCTGCAAGCGGAGAGTTAGTTAGAGTCGGTGTATATCACAGATGCCGGCTAGAGGTCAATTTACCGGAAAATCTGGATTGGAGGTCGCTGCATCTGTCATAGCTACAACGGCCACGCTGACATTGAGTCGGGCTATATAGTTCACAGCTATGGCCAAGAAAAGCAGCACCGCCTGCAGATGTCGTATGCCCAGGCAGGGGCCTAAAGGTGGGAGGAAAATGAAGACGAAGTAAAAGAGATAAATTAGTTTAGAAATGACAAAGTAAGACAAATCACAGTAGTAAACAAATGCTACAGTAAGAAAAGTAAACCCAAACCGAGTAGTAAAATAGCTCCGATATGCATACACTATGAAACTGTTCAAGATTTGTGTAAGCGAACTAGTTCATTTGCAATTAGTAACTAGTTCAGTACCAGAAAAGTTAGACAAATGAGAATAGTAACACAGTAAGACATTCGACAAATTTGTAGATCTGATAACATCAACTAACTTATAAAGGGTATCTCACATTCGAACTTATTCCCGCAACTATTCTCATAGTATATTTCGTGCGTTTATGCATCAAGTGTCGCTGACCTTAGAGTATATTGAATACTTTTATATAAATAATACCCATTTGATATTTGTTATGAAGTCAAACATTATTTTTGGGTACGATCGAGGCCAGTTCGACTAGTTTATCGGTCATTCATGTCGTTTTCATTCAGGCTGATCGCAAATCAAATTCTAAATCGATTTTTATCAAGTTCAATGGTACTCGAATAAACAATAGCTTATATGGCAGAAATAAAACTAAAACTGTGTTTTCCCTTGATTAAGAACTTGTTTTTAATCTAATCGTGAGAACTAAAACTCTTTACAGCAAAATATTTGTGACGTCTATTGATAAACGAAACGGATATCCCCATATCAAAACAATTACATTGAGGTAAGACAATAATAGTAAGTAATTGTTTATAATATTTCATATTTTTATCATTTTTACAATATACATATGTATATAATTTCAATGGGGATCTCTCGTGCTCATAAAGTTGTTTTATCTTATCCACTCTCTATACAGATTTTCTTCTCTCTCTCTCTCTCCCTCTCTCTCTCTCACTATCTCTCTTACTCTATCTGTATATCTCTTTAGTTACCTCTAGCTTTCCCTCTTTCTATCTTTATCTCCCTCTTTAATATTCACCCCTTTCAATCCCTGTCCTCTCCCTAACTTTTCTTATTTTCATATTTTGTTATCCATCTTCACACATTGTGTTTTCTTTAAGTCTCAGTCTCCATCTCTTGCTCTCACCTTCTACCTCTCTCAGTTTCACTTTTTTCCCATCCCATCGATATTTCACTTATCTCACCTAAGTAAGGGTATAACCCAGTCTACTCTTTGTAGTTTCTTAATGTTTTAAGTTACACTTATCGCATCATTTAATTTCATTTAATAGTTCAAACGTGCAAACATGATGTGAAGGTGTTTCTGTTTTAAACGATTTTTGAAAATTGTTCAAGATTAGCAAAGTCTCTGTGACAAATTTGACAAATTAGAGCGTTGTAATCGATACAGGCTTGAAATTGAAAAACTTGTACAATTTTTAATTAGCCATGTTTGTTACTATTTGCTACAATTGAATGAATTAGCTATGGAGGGATCTATGAGATGATCAGCTGTTTAATTTTGCATTGCTCTCTTTGTATACGACTCTACCTCTCTCTATATATAATTTTATATACACTTTTAAGTTAATCTTTTAGGAAATTAATACTGTAATTTACATGACTTTTTTTTTTTTTTGGAGTTTAATGGGTAAACTATAATCGATGCTTTAAGACCCTAATCGGCATATCTCTATAACCTCGCTCACTTTATATAACTCAAATTGCCAGTCATTGGCTTCATTAGGCGTTATAAATTAATGCTGTTATGCTATAAAAGATACAGAAATTCTCGTTTAGACGCGTCAAAGTCATAATACCTTCTTGAAGTAGGTAAAGTAGGTCTTGAAGTGGTAAATCAATATAGTAAAAGAAACAACTACTTGACATTTAAAATGTAGTATGAATATATTCATATATATTTAATATGAATATAATTTTTAGTATGTAAGTAAGTATGAATATGAAATTTTAAGTCTTTAACGATAACAAAATAAAATTTCTCCTCAACATTTTCCAAGTGCTTAGAAAGCAACAACAATTAGGTAGCAATTTTTTTTTTTTTTTTTATCAACTTTCTATTATTCTATTATTATTTAATCAAATACTTTCTTGTTTTACAACATTTTTCACAGTGATTTTTGTATTTTTCATAACAATTTATTTATATATAATCACTTATCCAATCAGTTCATATATACAATATATAAACTGTATAGATATATCCATCATATTTGTATACCACTTCAACTCGTTGATCCTTTCACACTTCATAATATTCACCTTTATTTTCTAAATCAGTGCCCATTTTTGACAGTCAGCTATCTCTTATGTTTTTCGCTATTATAGTAATTCTTAATAGCTTTATAATCGGGCGTATAAAATCCAACTACCCGTTCGCATACACACACACTCCCGAGTCGCGGCGTCTACGCGTGTCAATAACTGAAATACGTCTGAGCATTATTTGGAGAGCGACGTCTTGAATATACTATTGACACAGACCCGAACGGCCGGGCCGGGCCGGGCTGAGGCCAGACATCAACTGAACGACAAGCACTATTGCATTTATTACCGCAATTAGACGTGCTTAACTTTCTGCTCTACCGTTCCTATACACTCACACATACTATACTATATACTATATACATTCATGTTTTATCATCTGCCTGATTAAGCGAACGATAACCGCGCGTTATTTAATTGTAAATTCCATTGGTTTCATTGCAGCTCCATGAAACTGACGATTTCTGGAGCTATGGCAAGTGCATAACAAACACTCTGATATATTGTTGCATGATATTAATTATATAGCCGGCTGTAGAATGATTATAAATGACTATTTGGTTAGCATCGTTTACGATTCAACTTTTTACATAAGTTCGACGGGGAAAATATTTTTTTTTAAATGTTTGGAATAATAAAGTTATCTATGTATTATATTTGAGCAGGGAAATTTAGGGTTTCAGCATGCCATACAAATTTACCTAAGCTTATATTAGTACTTACCTAAGCTTGTTTAGTACCCATTTTAAGCCTGGGATGCTTAGATTAAAGATCGATAATAATTTTGAATAATGGGAAGTTTTTTTAGGTACTCACTTAGACATGCAGTTAAAATTTCCCCTGAAAGCACTATTAGTGATATCATTTATATAGCAACTCTTATTTACTCTAGTTTTACTAAATTAACAAACAATTGTCTTATTAAAAATGAGTGAAATAAATAATTAGTATTATTGAATTAGTAACTCACGTGTAAAGCCATTATAAACTAAGCCAGATTATAATTAGCTATATTTTATAAATATTTCTAAAAAAAAGAGTCTATTTTATTCATTTGATAAATGACACATGATATAATGATAGCATCTACACAACATCCTCTTCCATAACACCTGCTATAAAGCTATAAAAATAGCAACAATTAACAAATTGCAAAAAAAAAAAAAGCCTTATAAATTATATAAAAACAATTGAATAATAAATCATAAATTCCATGGGCTATTATTTTAATTGAACGAAAATAAAGACAAACTCTTACATACATACATATTAATAATATTTATTTTTATTTTTATAAATTTTCTATAAAAAGTATACATTATTTTAATATACGTTTTTTTTCTGGTATATTAAATTAAAATATAAATACATATTTTTAATATATTTAATATATTTAATTTTTTTTAAATTTATTTAAAGCAGTATTTTTGTTGGTATCTTGACATATAAAAAATACTAAGCTTATATACTTAAAAACCACAAGCATACTCAAATTTTCCACTCAATGCTTGCATACACAAACTAAGACTCAACGAGCTCGTCTTTGAGTGGGGAGAGTCACACCCATATAAAGACGAGCCTGTTGCAGCGCCACTTCAGTCGGTCAGCTGAACTCCTTCCGATCGGACGTCTAGTGGAGTGCTCTTCATTTTCTTCTTCCTCCGGTGAGTTTTGGTAAACATTAAAGTTATTAATATTATTATTATTAATATTATTAAGTAATTTAAATGGATTTGTAATAGTTAATTACTCTTAGAATGTTAATAGCTTTTAAGTCAAATTTTGTATGCTAATGATCATATTAATTGTTAACCTACTGATCATTGTGGTGATCATCATTAAGAATTATTCAGTATGATAATAATCATTATGGTATTTTATTGTTATTTTCGTATCGTATTTTTAATTTACATAGTACATTACCTTTTAATAATGATCATGAAGAATGTGATAAGGATAAGAATAATGACCATTAAGATTTTTTTTACACAGAAGTATAATCACCGAGTAATAATAATAAATGTTATAAGATATTAAATATTAGAAGAGCCGAAGAACCGAAGAACCGAAGAGTCGAAGAGTCGAAGAACCGAAGAGTCGAAGAGTGTAAGAGTGGAGGAACCGAGGAGCCGGGGACCCGACGACCCGACGACCCGACGACCCGACGACCCGAAGACCCGAACAACACTGAACTGAAGAACTTTCTCTCTCATCTTACTCTCCCCAGAGTCGGATGCACAAGCATTTTTATTGGCAAATACATTATTACATTATTACATACATACATACATACATACATACATACATACATACATACATACATACATACATACATACATACATACATACATACATACATACATACATACAGACACACATACATTCATAAACATACATACATATTTTTCTCTGTTTATTATATACATATATAGAATGTTTTATTTTCTAAAATCCTTCAACTGTTCATATATGTATTGCAAATATGTATGTATGTATATATCCATCTAAGCTCCGCATCTATTTAAGCCTTTGCTTTGGCTAATCTCTTCGTATTTTTCTTTTTTGCCAAATCCATATAGCAAAACATTGAACTGGCTGAAAATACATATGGCCAATATTTTGTATTTTTACTTTTATTTTTTTTTTTTTTTGCGGGTATTGTTGTTGGCCAAAGGACGCGAGCTTTTTTTGGAGCAGAGCAGCTGCAAAATAAATGTGAATTTCATGAAATAATAGCACAAAAATACTTGATGATGCAAAATGCATGATGCCAACCTATACACACACACACACACACACACATACATACTGTGTAGAGTGTGTGTGTGGGTAAGAGCCTGCCAACTCCCTTCGTTATCCTTTAGGGTTTTGCTGCTAAGCTGTGCAGCAACTGTAAATGGTTATGGATGCTGTGCATGTGGTCCAAACAGCAGCTAAGCGGCAAGCAGCTGCCACAATCAAGTCAACAGGAGCCCCAAAAATGCACACATACACACATATAGATATACATGCATACATATTTATGCGTGTGTATGTGTGCATGTACAACATGCATGACATGGTAAATGGACAGTGTTCATGCCAGCGTGTCTGTGTGTGCGTGTGTGTGTGTATGTGTGTGTCAGGGTCTAAGGTCATTTTCAATTTGCATAAATCATGTATGTCCATGTGAGACCCAAGCTGCATTGGTGTAAGTGTGTGTGTATGGTCTCTCAAATAAAACCACAACAATTGCTTGGTAAATAAAACTCTTGGGCAGCAGCTGCCTTAAATTTGTCCAACAAAAAATTATATATTTATATATATGTATATATAAACTGAATTCTTATGCCATATTTTATCGGCTTATCCTATTATAAAAGCAGCTAGGCTAAAGGAAAAGTAAGACTTAGTTAACAGCCCTGGTAGTATGTATGAAGAGACTAGATCAAGTGCAGCTTCTGTTAAGTAAAAGAAATATACTAACATTTATCAGTTGCAATGCAAAGCAGTTTTAGTTGGAGCCCTGGTACTTAAATATAATTACATTAATGTAATGTAGATCAAATGCAATTGCGAACTGGTTCATTTGCCTGTCGTCAAGTTTATACATTCATATACATACATACATATGTATATATGTACATATGTATGTTCGTATTTAAAGTAGGTCAAACAAAGTCTAGATCCGCAAAAATCAAACAGGCATCTGTTTGGGGTGCAGTGGTTAAGGACAACAAATATGCAATTTAAGATGTATTTTTCCAATCCTGCAACAGTCGTCAAGTGCCTCAACGCATTTTTTTTTTTTTTTTGGTTTTGGCTAATCAAAATTTTTGACAAACTGCGCACAGTGCGAATGCGAAGGGAGCCACACATACACACTAACATTTTGTGCTAACTTAGCAGCTTGCAGTCAAAAACAGTCAACCGCATGCAATGGTTCCGGCCAGGGCTAACAGCAGCAGCAGCAGCAGCCGCCGCCGTGCAAACACAACGCACAGTCACACACACACACACAAGTACAGAGTTGATTTATAAGACTTTCATATGTCCATGCTTGGCAGGGGGGATGAAGGGAACAACCCGTTGGCTCGTCTGTTTTGATCATTTGTGAATCATGTCTAGCTGTTTTGACTTTGATTTATATGCTGTGCATATGCACGCACACGAGACCGCAGGGCCAATTGCGATGACATTGCCGGAAACGTTATCTGCCAAATATACACACAATGTATGAATGTATATACGTTTGTATGGATGTGTGTATGTATGTACATATATATGCTATGACAACGACAAAATGCCTGTAAAATGCAAATGGCGTCACATTCGCAAAATACCAAATGCTATAACCCAAATTATTTGATTCAACCAAAAATTGCATTGCACTCGAATTGAGTAGGTGGTCAGCCAGAAGAGGGAGTGGCTGGGACAGAGGCAAGGACTCGGCTGTTATTGCTGCGCTTCAGTTAATGCTCGCTGCCGCATTGTAAAATGTACGTAAAACCGCTTAATTGGGTCGAAATTATTTTGTTTATACGCGCAAAATTGTAAAAAGCGACCGCGATTCTAACGGCACAAAAGCGTTCAATTGTGGTTGTTTAAAAGGATCATGTAATTGTTGGTAAAAGGGATATAAACATACAATTTAAATATTTTATCATAGTTACACTACATTGTTGCTATTAACAAAAACACAAAAAGAAGTCTACTACTTTAAAATACCAAACTTGTTCAGAAAAATGTCATAATTGAAGTTTGTTAACAATGTGGCAACGCTGTCCGGCTCAATTAAAGATTGAACAAATGTTAATGGACAGAAGAAATAAATAAGACTACATTTAATAACTAAAATTTAAGATAGATTCTTACACACAATTAGTTACACATTTCTACCCTTGTCTTTGCATAATCAAATTGAACTTAGTAATGGCCGCCTCAACATATTTCTCCTTTTCGGCCAGCTCCGACTTGAGCATGGTACGCAGCTGCTGCAAATTGGGCATGCTGCGGCAATCGCGCACATTGAGCAGCGTGCGGAATATGGACTCCCAGGTCTGGCGGCTGAAATAGCGCGGCAGCGCCGTCTTTGGCATCCAAATGCCGCCCGGCTGTCGCTGTGCTACCTCCATGTAACGGCCAAATAACAGCACATGCATCACACCGACCAGCCCAAATAAATCCAATTGATATGTCCAACGGCGACCCGTTCGCATCTCAATGCACTTGAAAGCCTCCTCGTTGTGAACGTAGTCGAACGTCTGGTTGGGCGCGAAGAGTTTCGTGTCAATCGCCACGCCAAAGTCAATCAATTGCACACTCAGCTCATTTGCCTCAGCGCTCAAACTGTAAAACAGCAAACGGAAAACGGAATACGGAATATTTAAATTGTAACTTTGAATTAAAAAACAAATTCTATTCCATTTTTAATAGAGATTTAAGAGCAACTTGTTTGTAGCGAATGCAAGTACAGTAGAAGCTTGTATGACTAACTAAAAGATACCCTGTAAAGAACTTTAAAAATTGTAAGTAATACGTACGGTCGCATTAACAGAAAGTTATCCGCCTTGATATCGGCATGTATAATGCCGATGGCATGCAGATGATCGACTATATCCAACAGCTGGCAGCACAGATGCATGACCACGTATTCATCCATATTCTTATTCGTGTGCTTCTTGAACTTGTTGCAGACGGTGATTAGAGAGCCGTATTCAGAGAACTCCGAGATGTAAACACTGCTATTGTTGCCCACCAGAGCGTAGTCGATGTTCATATAGGCGGGCAGCTATAATGAAGGAAGAGTTTCGTTAGGAATAGGATATGGAATGCATGGAGCATATACTGTATACCATTTTCTCATTCTCCAATCTCGAGTGGACCTCGAGGCATATGTAGTACTCCCAGTAGTTGGTGGGTCGCTCCTGCTTGAAAGCCACCTTCTTGCCCGACTTGCTGTGAATGCCGCTGTATATGCAGCCGTAAGCGCCTTTGCCTATAATCTTTTGCACCTCGAACCGTTCGCCGTTCACCTCCAGCGTCGACTGCGGCATCAGGCGCTTCACATTCCCTTGCAGCTGGCAATTGGGCAGCTTTTCGATGTACAGCGAAAATTCAATGGAATCCAGCAGGGAATTGATGATATCCACACTGAATGGATTCACATTTTTGCTAGCCAGCGTGCTATTCAGTATGGACTCATCCATGCTGGGCTTGCGGTGTGTAAAGATCTCCTTGGAGCAGTTGCTGGCCACCGAATCCTGCCAGGCATTGTGCGACAGCTTGGGCGTCAGCGGCGTCTTTTTGTAGTAGATGCTGCGTTCATCATCGAGAGGAGCCTCCTGAACAACAATGTTTGGTATGTCCATGGAGGAGGAAGCGGCAGCTGGAGGTGGCATGAGAGCTGAGCTAGAAGCTGTTGCTTCCACCTTGCTGGGCAACAGTGTCGAGTTCTTGATCATGCTTATGTTGCTGGCAAACATTTCCGTCGCTGCATTCAGCTCGAAGTATTCATTGGAATCCTTGCCACTTGATGCCGTTGTTGACTTTGTGCTGGACGCTTCCAGATCCTGCAGAAACTTGAGCTTTTTCGAACCTGCTGTGGATGAGGAGTTGACGGGTGTCGCTGGACATTTGCCCAGCGCTGTGCAGTCCTTCATAAAGGAAGCGGTCAGATGGGCTGGTCCTATAGTCTCCGCCTTATCCAGAGCCTCATGGGCTTGGGCTGCACCTGGAGGTGGCTGCATATGTGGCAAGGATTCGTCCAAGAATATTTCAAAATTCGGTGGCGCACATTGAGCTTTGGTTGTGAGCGGCTGTGGCATGAGGCAGCTGCTCAAGTCCTTCATAAAGGAAGCCGTCAAGTGTGCGGGGCCAATCGTATCCGTCTGCGTCTCGGGCAGCGTGCAGTCCATCATGGCTGGCACAGCTGGCGGCAGAGCCGGTGGGGGCATCGTCTCATCCAGAAAGATTTCAAATTTCTTCTTTGCAGCTGTCTGACTCTTGTTCTCCACTGGCAGCTGCTGCGGCTGCGTCTCCGGCACAAAGGACAGATCTGCCTTAAGGGATTCAGCTAGCATATCGACACTCGGTTTGACGGCCGGCAATGCAAAGCCCTCATCCTCAAAGATCTCAAAGGAGCTCTTCTTGGGCAGCTCCAGTTGCTTGACAGATTTGCTGAATGCTTCGGGCGTGGCTTGATTACAAATCCGTTTGGAGTTGCCTGCGTAAAGGGGCGTGCCGAACGACTTGGGGTTGGGTGGCGTCTTGGAGAAGAGTCCACACATGTCATCTTCGTCGTAGGACGTTGGCATCTCTGGGACTGGCTGCTGCAGCAGCTGCAACTTCGATGCATTCGCCATGTCCGGCTGAGCCAATGGAAACTTGGGCAACGTCTCTGTCTTATCTTCCTGATAGCAGGCCATCAATGGTCTGGTCACTGTCTCCGTTTTATCCTCCTGGAAGCGCAGGGATTTCAACATTGGCACACTCGGCGCATTTGGTTCCCAGAGCTCGAGCCGCTCGAAATTGCCAGCTCCCGCTGCAGCTGCACTGCCAACCGTCGGCTCCTCGCCCACCACGGACAGCTCGCTGACCATTTGTCGCTGGAACCGTGTCGGGCCCGGCGTGCCCTCCATCGCCTGCTCTGATTTGTGGCTGAGCATAAAGGCCGTTGTTGCCTGCAAGCTGGGCGACGTGGAGGCTGTGGTCGAGGCGGTGCTGGTCAGCGTGGACTTTGTTGTGGTTGCGCCCATGCCATGCTCTGACGTTTCCAATATCGTTGACAGTTGTTTGCGCAGCATGGGCGAAACGGACTGAGCAGCTGCTTCACCGCCCGCCTCATCGTTGCCAGGCAACGCAGCAGGTGGTGGTATGGCAGCTGCTGCTACTGCTGCTCCTGCTGCTGCTGCTCCTCCTCCTGCTATTGCGCCTGCTCCTGCTGCTGCTGCTGCCTCTGGCGATGTTTCCTTGAGCAAAGTGCCAAATTGACGAGCTGGCGCCTGTTTCTGTGTCGCCTTAGGCGTGCTCACCGCCTGCGATTTAATGAATATGTTAAACATTTGCGTCGAGCATGTTTCGTCAGCATCGAAGAAGGCGCTGCCTGTCGGCTTAAGTGCAGCTGCAGGCGCCAGTGATGGCGGTGGCATGTTGGCATCATCTTCGTATATCTCGATTTTGCGTGTGGGCGGCGGTGGCATCACCAGTTTATCATCGACAGGTGAGACAGATGCAGCAGCAGTAGCAGCTGCAGCAAGCGATGTCGTGGGAGTTGGGCTAGGAGCAGCAGCTGCATCTGGAACATCTTCCCAGATTTTAATTGCAGGCGCATCAGCAGCAACTTTGGGTGGTTCAAACTGCACCGCCTCCTCCTCCTCTTCTCCCTCTTCTTTGTCCTCATCCTCCTCCAGCACACACGATACTCGCATCACACTCTTGCGACTCGTGCCCGGCTGCATATTGGGAAAGAAGCTTTTGCGTCGCGGCATTTGTTCGCCTGGCAAACAGACCGTCTCCTCCATATCCATGACACCCAGTTTTGTGATGCGCTTCTGCCGCCACTTGGCCACGAGCAGCTCTTCCAGTTGATATTCCTGCTGCTCCACATCGTTGTAAATCTTGTCCAGCAACGGTTCTAGGGACGGCACCGCTGGCGGCTTATAATACGCATCCAGTTCATCGCGGGGCTGTGGCTGCGCAGCGCTCGCAAAGTTCGGGTAGCGGCGCACGCCCAGAGCACAGTCGTTGCCCCACCAGGGATCATGGCGCAGCACAAAGGGATGTTGAGCATTGCGCTGCTTGAACCAACAGTAGGCGCGATATTCCTCGGGAGAGAACTCCATGTTGGGACGTGGATAGAGCATGCACTTGTTATAGCACGGCAGCGTGTTTTTATCCGGCTGATCTTCAATGGTCACGGGCGTAATCCAAGGATCTTGCTTTACGTTCTTCGCCTTGAAGTTGGACGGCGGCTTAAAGGCCTTCAGTTGATTACCAGCGGGATCAACGATGGGCGGCAGCGACTTTTCATCCACATGTATAGGAAAAGCAGGATCGTGATGTGCCGTGGAGGCGAAGATTTTGCCGTGCTTGTGTGGCTTGCTCCAGGCGATCGGCTCCTTCAGGTTCTCCTGATGACGTGCCGCATCGATAATGGAGCGGAGACTAGTCTTGCCCTCATCTTCCGCAACTGCTGCAGGTGGAGGTGGTGGTGGCATATTCACATCCGCGTTCTCATCATTGAACACCTCCAGCTGGCGATGGGCATTGCGGCTGGCGCGACTGGTGCTGGCCCCCGAGTTCTGGAAAGGCACAAATTTAGTGTGAAGGGAAGGGAATGGGAATTCATCTTCTTACCTGCACTACACCTGGCATATTGCTCTTGATGGCCGCACCTGTACGTACGCTGCCTACCGTAACGGTATTCTTGCGCTTCTGCCCATGCAGGGAACGCAAGGCGAGACGTCGATCGTTCAGCTCCTGTGTGACAGCCGTCGTCTCCTCGCCCTCGCTATAGAGCATACGCTGGGCCACGGTATAACCGAAATGCTGTTGCGCCTCCTTCAGCTCCTCCAACGGTTGGGCGCGACACTCAACGCCCAGACGAAAAATCTCATTGGCCTTGCGCATATTGCCACTGAGATCGTAGCTATACGCCCAGGCTATATAGAAGTCGGCTAGCATGGTCCCAATACCGTTGTTATACATCTGTTGATAGCACTCGATCTGATCGCCCTGGTTGCCCATCTATATGGAAATATAACAACTGTCATTCTGAGTTATCATGCTGATATCCCACTCTTACTCACATATTTAATAAACAGTTTTATCAGCCGCGGATCCTGTTTGTAGCGCTCGTCATCCTCGAATTTCGTCAGGCACTTGTGCATCACCTTTTGCAATCCCGAATTGCTGCCACCAGCCGGATAGCTTTGTTCTATCCAGCATATGTACGTATACCAGGGCTCTAGCGGATCGTCCCCATTGTAGTTCTTTATGTCCAGCTCCAGCTGCTTGCGCTGCGCACTGAGCTCCTGGGATGCATCTTGGCAGAGCGAGGCTTGAAGCAGGCTCACGTTGCGACCACTTGCCAAGGGCTGTATATTCTCCTTGGCATTATCGAAATCCATTTTTCAATTTATATACTTCACTTGAATAAACAGTAAATAAATCAGCGATTAAATGCAAACAAAAAATAACAATATAAATCACGCGCACTAAGTAGAAAACGACGCTTATTTTAATTGAATGGCGGCGCTACTTTTGTAAGCAATCGATATCTATATCGATAATAGTGAAATAAATAGCACGGTACGCTGCAACACTTGCCTAGCAGAGTTATCAAGCTTTTCAATTTACTTTTAATTTTGAAAATAGTAAAAATATTATGCATTTAAATGCATATTTATGGCTTACAAAAGTTTTAATACATATGTTTAATGTATTTTATAATTAGTTTTCCTTATATGCGTGAGAATATTTTTTACCGCAGCCCTGGTTGGGCTTTTGTTATTACTTGTTCAAATATAACGGCAAAATGTGCTCACCTCATGAAGTTGACGTTACTATATATATATTATTTTGTTATTTAAAAGCATATTCTATGCACGTATATTGGTTAACATTCTGAATCACTGATCTAGTACGTAGCCCATATTCCCGAAGCCCGTATAACAGAAGAAATAGCAACCTACACAAATTTCAAACGGTTCTAGAGCAAGCTAAACTCAAACTCGTCTCAAATTATCGATAATGTTGACAATGTCTTCTTTAGTAATCAATATTAAATTTAAGAGCATATTTTTCGTAGGTATTTTATTGATTTAAAATGTAATCAGACAGTTCTAATTATAATACGTAACATAGGGTTTTTTTTTGTAAGATTAAGTCATTATTTCAATAGCGACGATTGGAAAAGCTGCTCCAGTTACCGCCTTCGCCGCTTTGGAAGTTGTTATATCTATTATTAAAATTGCTTCCTCCTTGATTGTAGCCAGCATTGCCTGATCCTTGGTTGTAGCCACTGTTGCGTCCTCCTCCTCGGTTATAACCTCCTCCACCATTGTTGAAGTTATTGTTTCCCCCAATGTTGTAGCCACCGCCTCCTCTATTGTTATAGCCACTGCTACCATTCCCTCCATCACTATTGTATCCGCCTCCGCCTACTCCTCCAAAATTGGAGCCGCCTCCAAAATCATTGAAGCTTCCATTTCCTCCTTCATTCTTGAAGCTGCCATCTCCTACTCCAATATTAAAGCCGCCATCTCCTCCTCCGTTATTGAAGCCTCCACCTCCTCCGCCACTATTGAAGCCACCACTACCTCCTCCATTATTGAAGCCTCCACCTCCTCCTCCATTACGGTAGCGTCCATTAAAGCGTCCGCCGCTATTGTATCCACCTGTTCGATTGCCAAAGTTTCCTCCTCCACCTCCTCCTCCTCCGAATCTGCCACCTGAACTATTGCCATAATTCGATCCACTATCAAAGCGTCCACGCTTAGCTGGACCACCACCATCCATTCCGTCTCCGTCTCCGCTGACAGCGCCTCCACGCGACATATAAGGCAACACGGTCGATTCACGATGGAGCTGATAGTCTCCCGCATTTTGTACGCAAAGATCCCGGATGACACGCACCAGGCGAGCATAGGGCTCATCCAATTTGAGCACATTACCGGGATTATCGCAAGCAATGGTAATCAGGTCCTCCAGAGCCGGCTTTAAGGCACCAATTTTTGCAGCATGTTCCGGATCGATGTCAAAGTTGAGCCAGTTGTCCACACGCACCACTCCATTGGCGGCAAGATCAATCTTACGGCAGCCAAAGATCATGACCTGCAGCGGCGACACCATGGACAGTTGCTTGCAGGAGACAGCGCGTGTGCGGATCTTCTCGCCGAAGACAAAGAAGGGATACGGAAAGGTGACAGCCAGATTACTGCAGTTCACCGAGGTCTTGTGGAGCAGTGCTGCCTTCGATTCGGTGGTCAGCACCTTGCGCTTCTCCTTGTGCACACAAATGTTGGGATAGAGACCCAAACAGAGCAGAGCCAATGATATATCCAGCTCGGGATCATCTGCATTGGCATCCACTTTATGGGGCAGCATGCACTCCTCGGGAAAGCCCGCCTGGACCAACAAGTCGAGCAGCTGCATCTTGGCATCGTACATCACGTTCATCGTGGACAACTGCAGACCCTTCCAGTCGCAGAAGCGTGCCTCCTCCTGTTCGCCGCGATTCTTGGCGCTCTGCCACATCTGTGAGGCGACGATCATGGCCACGTGATCGGAGCACTTGCGTCCGCTCAGCGCCTTTTGATGTGCGGCCAAACGACGCTGACCAATGTCCAGAGCAAACACCTCCGAGAAGGTGCTAGAATAGGAGGCCATGCTGGCCACCAGATCGGCGCAGCCAAAGACGGCGCCCAGCACCAGCATCTTGCCCAGACGCGGCTCAATGGGCAGCCGGGCGAGCAGGCGACCCAGCGGTGTCAACTGATCGTTGGCATCCAGGCAGCGCATCTCGCGCAGCAACACCTCCGCCTCGATTACAGCGTCCACGGGCGGCGGCTCCAATGCTTTGGATAGAAAATGATGAATTGCACCCAGACGCAAAAGCTTCACAGTCAATGCGATCTCATGGAGGGGCGTGCGGAACATCTCGGGCGTCAGGTTCTCCTCCAGTTGGGCAAAACGAGCACGCGAGCACAAGGTAAAGCAAAAGCCCGGGCGGACACGTCCAGCACGTCCCTTGCGCTGCTCCAGATTCGTTTTGCTGGCCCACACGGTGGCATAGCTGGTCAGATTATTGTGCGAAGTGAAGAGCTTCATGCGTGCCTTGCATATGTCAATGACGAAGACGATATCGTCGATGGTAATCGAAGTCTCGGCAATATTCGTGGACAAGATGATCTTTGTGACGCCATCCGGAACAGGCTCGAAGACCTTGCGCTGATCATCGCGTGGTATCTGCGAGTGGCACGGCAATATGCGATACTGGGAATTGCCGAAATTTGTGGAGCTCTGCAGGAACTTCATCAGAGCGAAGATCAAGTTCCAGCCGGGCAGAAAGACGAGTATGGCACCGGGTATATTCTTGGATTTGATGTGCAGCAGCAGAGATTCGAGCAGCTCGAAGCTAACGTCCGACTCGGACAGCATGGCCATGGCGTTGCGTGTCTGCACGGAATACTTCTCCTCGCACACCTTATTCAAGTTCTGCTCACCCTCCTCCTGGTTGTCCTTGAGCAGCAGCTGCTCCTCATCGTCGGCCTCCTTGCGCTTGCGACGCGACTCAGCCGATGGCACAAAGCCTGTCATCTGTATGATGTCCTCCAAGAAGAACTGCTGCACTGGAAAGGCGCGTCCAGGCACCTCCAACACGGGGCAATCGCCAAAGTACTTCGAAAAGAGTGTCGTATCAATGGTGGCAGACATCAGAATGACTGGGAAAATGGAAAATTGAATATAAAATGAAATTTAGGATTTCATAGAAGTTAACATACTGTGCAAATCCGGATAGGTGGCTACCATGTCTCTCAGTATGACCAGCAAAAAGTCGCTATTCACATCGCGCTCGTGTATCTCATCCACGATGATGTGCGAGATGCCGCGCAGACCTGCCTCCAGCTTGCGCAAGAGCACGCCCACAGTGCAAAAGAGTATGGCGCCGTATGGGCGTGGAAATACGGACTCAAAGCGCACGGAATAGCCGACAGTTTCGCCCAGATTTTCGCAGCGTTCGCGCGCAACACGCTCTGCCACGGATATGGCCGAAATGCGACGCGGCTGGGTCACATAGATGTTGGCATAGCCACCCTGGCCCGTGCTAATGTAATCATCCAGTATGTATTGGGCAATCTGGGTGGTCTTGCCACAGCCCGTGTTGCCGCGTATAATCACCACCGGATTCTCATTGATGGCCAGCATGATCTCTGAGCGCATTGCTGCTATGGGCAGCTTCTCACGGAACTCCAGGAACTGTCTGTATTCGGCATTGTTCTGGCGACGATCGCGATGCTGTCGCTCATATTCCAGGGACAGTTGATCCACGGTGACATTGGCCAATTCACCCTCATCGATGTTGCAAGCGTGCCAGGCATTCCAGTTGGACTGCGGCGGTGCCCAGGGTATGACAGCAATATGCTCCTGACGTGCATCCGAATCCTGGTTCATGTCCAAACGACTCTGTGATACCTATAGCGAGATATAGAGATAGATTAATAGAGATCTACAGCAAGATCGGCTAGCACATACTATTAGCGGCATTGGAGCTCCATCGGGGTCCAGCTTAATGTTGCGTGGACTAACCACCGGCAAATCGAGATCCTTAATGACCTCATCCATCTCATTAATGAGCTCCTCTCGCAACTTAACCGGATAGGGCTTTAGCTGCTCGTCCTTCTTCTTCTTGAGCGTGCCGCTAAAGGCCTCGATCACCTTCAGATGGAAGAGCTGACGCACCAGCGAGAGGGCGCACGACTTGCTGGCCGATTTCTTATTCGATCCCGTTTCACGTGCGGTTACCTTGCGCTTCAGAGCCGGCACGTATATGGACAGCTCCGCCATGAAGCTCCTAATTTTGGTGAATGCGTTAAACAATTTAATTGAAGAATTTCATTTCAAACTCAAGATTCTTGCTCCCTTTTTTACACTTACCATCAAAACTTGGGCCATGCTGTGCGCAATTGATGGGAACTCTCACATTCTCTCCCTCTCTCTCGTTTGCTGATAGCTTTCAGAGCGACAGTGCGCACATATATATTATATATAACTCAATCTCAGGGTTATATATATATCTGTGTATATTGTCTGATGTTTGTTTTGATCGGTGTGTTTTGTATTTGTTGTGCCAGCTCGCTCTGAAAGCCCAGCCGTGTTTCTTATATGTAAGTACAGTACACGCTCGATAGGTGCAACACACTTTATGAAACTACAACTACTCTATATATACATATAGAAGCATTAAGCGAAAAACAAAAATAATTTTGTTAAAGTAAATATAATTATATATATAAATGTAATTTATACCCTTGCATGAAAACTACCTCAAGGAACTTGATATCCCATGTAAATATTTAGCTAAGAATTGGTATATAAACTTCTTATAACTGTCGTTTATATATATATATATGTCGAATTTAATCGAATCGCTAGTATAGATCATAGGGAAAATTCTTTCTTGAAAGGGTATTTATGCTTCGATTAACCGAAGTTCATTTAATATGAAAAGCAATTTTCAATCAACTATATTGAACTTCAATCATTGTGTGCACCATATCGAGGGCGCACGGTAGTTGCTACCAATCTATATGGCATATGCTATCAATCTATTAAAGCATCATTGTACTAACTTATATGACAAATTTTGATACTTCTATTTTGTGTTCACCCCAACGAGCGTGTACTGTAGTCGTATGCTTATGCACAAATTTCAATGTTTCTTCACAAATTGCGCACAGCAAGCCAATCGTTGTCAACAACTGCGAGCTGCGCTCCAGATTTAGAACGAAACAAACGCTAAATCCAGTGCGCAGCTTGCCATAAACAAAAAAAAAGTACAAATACAAATCATAATAGATATTCGGATGAATGATTAAGCCTGACGGAGGTATGGAATGATGTCGCCTGGCTGTGGTACGTACCTGGCATGGTCTGGTCCAACGGGCGTGTACTTATAATCATCTTTTATGTTATTCGATTGCTTATATATGTTCAAACGATCTTTGGCATTCTCAATAGTCCAATTGCCGTGAATAGCGGCATTTACATCAATTGATTCGGCTTCGTTCATATCCTTTTGCTCTTGGACATGGTCTATGATGTTGAAGCGATCGCGTCCTCCCTCATGATTGAGCGGACGATAGGCCTCGCCCAAATCTTGTGGGCCCGACGAATCGCCGAAAAAGCGACGCTGCTGGCCACTTCCCCCGCGTCCAGCTTGGCCATCGCCGCTATCAACTGCCGGAGCGGTTGGATCATTCGGCACGTCCTTTGCATTCAGTTTGCCAACGCGTACCAAATAGTTGACAAAATCACGCGAGGCATTCTTCTCGGCATCCTTTTTGTTGGTGGAATTGCCAACGGCCACATAGGGACACTGATCGACGCGTACTTCGCACAAAAATCGTTGGCGGTGTTTGGGTCCTAAACAAAAAAAAAATCAATAATGCTTGCAAATATTCACCGGTTCTTGGAACTTTTTATGCACTTACCAATTGGTCGCACTTCGAACTTGGGTTCTGTTTGATTTTTGGCACAATATGAAAACAGAAATGATTTTATATCCATTTTGTGCAAATATTTATTTCAGAGAATATTAAATTAAATTAATACTTCTGACGAGCTCCGTTTCTAAATCGAACGCTTGTCAAATGAAGAATGAAACTACTGAGCATAGTAAATTCTCCATTATGATTCCCCCAAAAGAAGCACTGATTCATTTGAACATATTAGCATCGCTCGATAACTTTATTATGTTAATAACATAGACCGACTTTATTTACATTTCATTAAATGAATCCAATAATTCCATATATAGTGCATGTTTCCCGTAAATAGTATTGTGAACAATTGTACATTTTCATACTGCCTAAACTACCGTATAAATGCAAAATAAACAAATATTGAAATGTAACAGCTGTTATTTATCGAAACTTTACAGAATTTCAATTAACAGTACTCGATTATTCATTATTATGTTGATTTCCGATATATATCAGCATGCATATCTGTTGTGGGCACACACGAATCGATGCTATCGCTTTAGCAGTGCTATCGACTGTCGCGCAGGTTTTCATCGGGGAGCCATTTTCGCTGCTGCTGAAACTCGTAAATTAAATAACTTAAAAATGTAAAAGAAATACAATAAGTGATCGAAAAATATTAGTATAATTATGTATGCATGTGCTTCAATAGTTTATCAGTGTTTTTGAATTGTTTTTTTAATGGTCGCGTTCGTCTTGTTGTTTGGCCATCAGCATCACACACATAGAGCATATATACACACATGCAGAAATTCAGAAAAATACGTACGCCGTCCGTGAGTGTGTGTGTGAATGTTTAAGCATTTAATTTAGTTAGAGAGTGCTGCAATAAATTATAATAGCTATAAACAGTGGCAGTGCGTGTAACAATAAAACGCCACAGCAGTAACAACAATACACACATTAATACATCAATTAACTGACGACGCGCTAGGCTCAACGCGCAGCAAGCATAGGCAAAAGAGCGAGAGAGATAAGTGCCAACACCCCAGTTGATCGCGAGTGAGCAAATAAGCAACAACAACAACCAATTGTGAACTGGTATGCGTGTGTGCACACACATATATATATATGTATATATATAGAGAAGTGTGCGTGTGTGTGTCGTCCTCAGTATAAACAAACGAGTGCAATTGAATTGTAATTGGCGTGCATACAGCTGTGTGTGTGTGTGAGTGAAAGTAACTGTTACTCCACAACAGAAACAGCAACAACTTGGCTTCCATTCATTGCATTTAATACGTCACAAATTGTGCTCCAACTTGGACTTCATCGAATCTTCTGAACCCTACTCCACAACACACACACAAATTCGAAATGGGCAACTGTCTACGCACACAGAAACCGGACAACGATAAACCGCATGCTGGCGATGTACGCAATCCGCTCGACGATCCCGGCGCCAGCATTGGCGTAGTCGGGGTCGGTGTAGGCGTACCGCAAATAGCAATGCCCATGCCCGGACAGCCGGCTGAGCAAATACGTCCGGTACCCCAGATACCAGAGAGCGATGCGGCCAATGCGAATGCTAAAATATTTGTGGCCCTCTACGATTATGATGCCCGCACAGACGAGGACTTGAGCTTCCGCAAGGGTGAACACTTGGAAATATTGAATGACACACAGGTGAGTGAATCACAATCACAGTATTAGAGAGAGAGAGAGAGAGAGAGAGTGAGAGATAACATGTGAGTGGGGTCGACTGTTTACTGATAACCCTTATTGAGTCAAATATCTTATCAAACTAAATATATTGTAAACACATTGATGCCATTAAAAAAACATATATCCAATTGGATTCGGTTGAACTTTTTTGTAACTATGCATAAATTTCAAGTTGATTTAAAAGTTTGTGAAAGCTTTAATTATTCGATTCGTTGAAGCCAATGCGCGCTCTGCCCAACGCTCTGCATGCAATTTTTCATGTTTAATCATGAACAGTTATTTTGCTTTTAGTCATGCAAATGCCATGTTCAGAGGTTTTTTTTTTGTGTTTTTTTATACACATATACATATATATTTATATTTTGTGCATACGTCGTGAATGCCTAACGCTATGATGTCGATATAATTAAGAGAATAAATAATAAATAGTTATAATATAATAAATAATATGAATAAAAAAAAAAAAAAATAATAATTATAATGAGTATTAAATAATCCAAAATAATGAAAAATTTTGTTTATAAAATATTGATAATAAATATCAGTATATAATATCAGTAAAAAAAATGCAAAATTTTGATAATAAATTTAAGCGTAAAGTAATAAACAAAATTATTTTGTTATATTTTTTCTTGAACAATATATAAAGTATGTCATATCTATATACATATCTAACTATAACTATATATAGTTTTGCTTAGACATTTTTACACTCCACAAGCCTTTCAATATTTGTATTTCCCACTCTCAAATATCAGTATTCATTTTGCATTCCCATCTTTCAAATAGTACTTCCTGAAGCTATAGTTAATATTATGTTTATTTACTTATCACAATTTATAGTCTCGTTTTACTGTTAGTTTTTTCCGTTTTAAATTACTGTAGTTTCTCTCGATAATCGAGAATTGTAAGCAATGCGTCATATGAGGCAACTAGCCAAAAAGCAAAATCTGAAAGAAAAAAAAAACAATCTCAGCTATAATTTGCAACTTTTTATCTTTTTTTTTTTTTGGTTTGTTTTTGATTTTCCTACGCTTTTTGTTTCAATGTCATTTGGTTTCTTTATTTTTACTCTTTCTGTTTTGGAAGGGGGGAAGTTTGGCAGAAAACCAGACGCTGTAATTGCGGCCGCCACTTGCCACATGCCACTCGCCACTTGAACCAACTCATAAAACCAGCCACCAACAAAAACTCCAACTCTAAAATTCCATCTTGTAATACTACAGACTGCATTTGTTGTTGTAAATGCAACGAGGCCTGTCTGGTTTTTGCTATACATACATACATACATATATACATTTATTTAGTATGCATATACCCTAGCCGAGAGAGTTTAACTAGTTTAGCAATGAATGTGCGACTATATTTAGTTTATGTTCCTCACGACCTATTTATAGACTCAAGGAACTCTTGACTAGAGTAGAGTAGAACCTCTCTAAGCCATACATTCACAAATACATAGTTAAATGTAGGCGGTAAGCTTGCAAATTCTGTGTTCTAGAGCTTTCTATAAAACCTCTAATAATAATAACTTCAATTTCTTGGCATTATAATGAGTTTAAAAAAATCCCAAATAAATCAAAAATTAATTATTAAAGTGATTTATAGTTTTTATAATACTATTAACCATATACAAAATTGTTTACAATTTGTTGTGTCGTTTTACTCTTGTGTAACTAAATATGGAAAGCGCACAGCTGTTTAAGTGAGTCAATAACTTATTTATGGGCTGCTAGGAATGTATTAGCTTAGCTTAAATATCATATGGTTGTACTCAACTCATTAAATAATATTGTATTATAATTCTACTATATAATATAGTGTAATATAGAAAACAAAGTGGAGATGAGAATGTTCAAGTTGGGTTCAGGCTATACATGACTGTATAATACTCGTTTATAATCTTTGAAATGATTTTTATTAAGAGTTTATAGATACACGATCTATGTAAGGATAACAATGACCCGAATATTAAACCTGCTATTCCGATCTGCGTGGAAAAGATAGTTAGTATTCCGATTTACCGCAGTACATATCCATATATTATATAAAACTTAACTATGTATAGGGAATATCAATAGGACTTTCGATGCATTTCTAAGAACTCTTACTTCCATAATGAAATTATCACATGTGGTCAGCCCATTAACACGGTCCATAATCTTAATTAATCTTCTGGTTCCACATACAAAACTCTTAAAAGTTATATTTATTCTGAATTTAGTTTTCTATATATTTGGTATTTGATATATTTTGTCTCCCACTGACGTAATGCATTCTACATGAGTTCGAAACGTGTATATCATAAAACCCATATACTTACTCTCTTATCACTTCCGTCAGCCAGCATAAATAGGGGATTCACCTCGCAACTATCCACTAACAATTTCTGTACTCGCTTTCGTTGGTAATTAAAGCAACAACTGCGGCAGCTACACTTGAAAAAATGCAGTGCAGCTAGGCGGACAATTGCCAACAGCTGCCAGACAGCAAATACAGAGAAACCAGAATGAAATGCTAATAGCTGACATATTTTTTGGTACACAAAAAAGTGCTATGATTAGCCGCCGCGTGGAGGTCGCAGCATGCAGCAACAACAACAACAGCAGCAGCAAGAGCACTTCCACCCACTCAACCACTTGTACCACCCATTCCGCCGCCCACCTTTGGGTGGCTTCTCTGCTGCTATTGTGACATAAGGCGCATTCAACTCTTTGGCCGAAGACGTACACACACACACACACACACGGAGATAAGTATGTGTGTGTGTGTGTGGCATGCATATTTAAAGCGTTTACGTCAGCAGCCATGACCACCTTACGGGCTGATCTGTTGACCAGGTTTCAACGGGGGCAAAGGGGGCGTGGCGGTTGGCCAATTGCGGCCGCCTCGCTGACTGCCCAGACAAGTGGCGGCGCCTAAAGGCATGACGTCGTCCAACACAGCCCAACACATTTTGGCAGCTGGCCAAGAGTTGCGCATTCGCTGCGGAATGGCCACCATCAGCTTGAGCTATATAATGTGCTGCAATTTCTTTTAGCAGCCCTCATAATTGAACCCATCAACATTTCACTGACAATCTCTCTTCAGAGAGAAATTGAGGCAGATCTCTCTCTCTCTCTCTCGCTCACTGACAGCCGGGACAGCTCGCTGCTGTTGCTATTTCCGGTTGCTGTGCGGCATGCAGCGGCGTTTAATTAACGTACAACTGCAGCAGCAACAACAAAGACAACAACTGAAATTACTTAGGCTACAACAACAACAACAGCAGTAGCAACAATTGCTGCTAGCCCAACAACAAGAAGCAGAGAAGCAACGGCACTAAACTTAGCAAACAACAAACTCAAAAAAAAAAGCTCAAGAAATGCGCTCGTATCAGTTGTGTTTGGTTAGCAGATACTCTGTACTTTGCTGTAAACACTTTAATCTGAATTCATATTTATATGCTTATCTGTATTGACATACATGTTGATACTTCATTGGGGGTCATAAATATATCCAAAGCGTGAACTTAGCAAGCAGCCAAAAAATTCTGATGAAAAGCTTTTAGTTTCGAGAGATCCTATAGCTACCTCTGAGTTAACATAGCATCCATTTTCACCTAAATTTCATCTTCTATGTTAAAAGAAATCTTACTTATTTTTTCTCTTCCTATAGTAGAGTATCGATAATATCTTTTATATAGTATTAGTTGATTCATGTACAATTAATTATCGGCTTTATCGGCTTCTTTGCTTTAGTCAAGTTTCTGGTATATATAATACCTGCGTTTGACTAAAAGCTACCCTGTACTCAGCTACGAGTACTATTAACATTCTTTGTAATAGGTCTTTGTATAAGTATGTATATTGCTGTCATAGTATTCAATTACCTGTGAACAACTACACAGGTAATTGCATGTACAATCAAATCTGTGATTGACTTGAAGATACCCTTTATATTTATTTAGTTTAAACTATTAGATAATTCGCCTCTAGAATAGAGATACGTTTGACCTATTAAAAGTTCGCTTCCATTAAAAAGCTGAAGAGCTGCAAATAGTATTCCCAAATATGTAAATTTATATTTTGTAGAACTGTTATCAACTATAAACATGTTTTGCTTATTGTATATGTATTGTATATATTCATTTTCCATAAACCCTTTCTAATCGATCGTAATGGGTATGCCAAAAGCAGCACGGCTTCCTTTCGTAGACTGTTTTTTATTTTTTCGCGCGGCTCAACGTCATGCATAGAAATCAAAATTGTATGTTAAAATATTTTATGGGTGTGCCTCAGAGTCGACATCGACGTCGACGTCGACGTCGTCTTCTGTTCGTTCATTGTCATTTGGCCGAGAAGCAAAGCATAAACACCCAGCACACCATGCACACAGCACACTCATCACACACACGACACACACACACACACATGGCACACTCATCACACATGCTCACGCAGCCACTTACACTCACACAGTTTTTGCAGCTTTTGTCGCTTGCAGATTGCAAATTCTCTGCGTGTACACGACGATGAAGAAGAAGAAGAAAATATAATAAAAGTGAGTTGCTGGAGCACAGCAATCGCTTTTGGGCTCAACAGGAAGCTAAGTGAAACCCTTCAAGGATAACCAACTTTACAGAGCACAAGGCAGAGAGATAGAGAGAGACAGAGATAGTTGGAGGCAGAGAGTAGGAACACTTAGGCGCCCTTACAGCCTGCCTTTGTTTGCTGCTGTTGCACTCGCTTAGTCAGAGTTTATGTATAGACTTTTAGTTCCATAAATAGCAGAATGCAAGTTAGGGCTTAAGATGCAGCAGAATGTAAATGGGAGCAAGATATTCTTTGAAAAAATCTCCATATATTATTTTTATATATTTTTCTCAATGTTTAATATTATTAAAATATGTATTTTTTGTGTTATTAAAAATATTATTTTGCTATATTTTTTCAATTTAGTTTATTTTTTATTATTATATAAATTTTTATAAAAACATTTTCAAAATTCTTGAAATTTGCAATGATAAAAATGTAAATGAACTTATAAACATGTTTTTTGTGTGGCATTTTACCAATACATAAAAGAATAATCATATTTTTTTATGAATAACAATCGTAGAACCTTTCCCAACTGTATATACTGTATATAAATGGAGTGAATGTCCAAGTTTTAGGTCAATGTCTTATCTCTGGCTATGGTTAGCTGTAAAAATTCTCGACTTAAACTAAATAGAACAGCAATCATTAATATAAATCTAAAAAAAAAAAGTGTAAAATGCTTTCTTGAGCTGACAACAAAAGAGAAGCCGAATGCTATTTCACTTTCAAAGCGTATCTAAGAATACCAAATCACTTAAATTTTCAATGGAAACGAGGCGCACATAAGCACAGATCTGTGTACATTACTATATATATATACATTGTATATACTTTACAACAGTTGCTACCAAAAGGCAACAAACGCGCGATTATGAAATGCACTTATAGAGCCACAAGGCGAGACAGAGATAGTCAAGCAGAAAGACGGATAGAGTGAGAGGAAGGGAGGTAGAAAGGCAGAGCGGGAGCAGAAATAAAATCAAAGCAAACACAACAAATAAACAATGAACCCTAAAAAAAAAAATCAGTTTGTTGTGTTCATTGACCTTTCCACAAAGTTTATCGTGTGCTTCAGCTAATGATAGCAAAAGCCACTTGACTTCCAGTTAGGGTCAGATGGTGTAAGGGGCGGGGGCGTGGCCATCAGCAAGCTACACGATGGATGTTAGGCAAACTCATCAAAAATTCAATTGCAATTTATTATTAATAATTTTTTTTAGAGCGGTAAGCAAGTTGGATCTTTGGGTAGATTCCTATGAATAGCTAACTGTTTTTTCCTTGCCTTCGTTTTTCTTTAGCCAAGCCAACGCGCTGCACACATATGGCAAAAGCCAGTTTTGGCTTAAATGTTATAGTTGTTATTGTTGTTGCTATTGTTGCTGTTGTTAGCGAGCTTTATGGAAAGCGCGTAAGCGCAAACAAAACAATCCAACAATGCGATTGTATAAAGTTTTTAATTTAATTTTCGTTATTTTTTTCGAGCAACTTTTTTCCTCTCTTCTGTAACGAAGCAAGGCGAATGCGTGAATAGTAAATTGCACGAATATAAAATACAATATGTAATAAAAATTGCAAAGCGAGAAAAAACTGAAAAGCAAAGCTAAAGAACAGTAAGAGACTTAAAGTTACCCTGTAAAGGCAGAAAAATATAATATAAGAAGAATATTATAAACTAAATAACTACATATTAAATAGAAAATAGAAATACAGAATATGTAAAATAGAAAATAGAAAAAAAGTTCAAAATAAAATAGATAATCATAATACAAAATAGATGTTAAAAAATATATATATAACATTAAAAAAAAAATTATATATTAAAATAAAAACAATAAAAAAAAAAATTAGCTTACAATATAAAAGCAAACAAAATTTAGAAATAATAATAAACGCTGAATACAAAATTTGTAAATATTAAAGTATAATAATCTTAACTCTTTTGAATTCCGATTTATTTATCAATCGAATTTAATCATCAATATCATATTTACTTACACTCAGTTCTCGCATCAAACCGGTTTTTCTCTCAACAAAAAAAGAAGAATAGAAAAGAAGATTAATAAGAATTTTTAAGGAATGTGTTTGCCTCAGACATTTCTCTACATTCATCCATAAATAGATTTTCATGCTTCAATTTTACAACAAAGCGTCTTAAATGAAATTTGTTTTCTTATCACAAATAGCTACAAGCATTTATCAATATTTATCGTATTCTTATAGTTCTTCGAAAGCCATGCTCGACTGCAGAATACTCTGTAGACTTGTAAGTACTTAATATAGTGGGGTTTATAAAATACCTTAGGTATTATTGAAATTTGTTTTCTTGAGAAGCAAACAAAGTATATTAAACTAGTTCTATCTAGAGTATTCGATTGACTATATAAGCTTTAAAATGTATGTACAACATTTATATGCATGTAGAGTATCTACCCGCTGCACTCACTGGATTTGCAGGGTATTACAAATACAAATATTAACTGTGGTTTGGCGTGTCTGCCACCTCGTGGCTGCCGTTGACTGTTTTTGCCATCTGGTTGCGTGAATGCGCGATTTTTTTTTTTCTTTCTCCTTTTTTTTCATTTTCTTTCTTCGCCAAATAGCCCCCCTCATCGCCCACTGTTAATTGATAATCGAACAACAACAATTGAGTATAAAATTGCTATTGCCCGCCCAAACAAACTATGAAAACTATGCCCAACTGCTCAGCGCTGCAAATGGACAAGTGCCCAAGTTGATAGTCAAAACTTTATATATATATATGTATATATATAGGCGTCTATAGCGACATAACTCTCCATTGCCGTTTTGTTGTTGGCTAAATCGAAAGACTGCGAAACACGTTTCGCATTAGCGAGATTTTCAACACAATAAAACGAAATGAAATTGTACGAATCTTAATTCATTTGTGGATTTCGCTTTTATTTCACTCTTGACGACAGCTAAATTAATTATAGTTTAAGCTGTTTCGCGTGGCTCTGTGTCTGTGTGAGAAATGCTGTGTTGTTCAATGCAACAACAAACAGGCAACAACAACAACAACAGCGGCAATCAAAACAACCCGGCAGCTAGAGGAGTTGTTTGTTAATTAATCACAAAATTGCAGCGTTTGCTTGTGAAATAATTTGGGAGTAAGGCAAAAAAAAAAAAAAAAGACTATGTATAAAACATAAAGTATTATGATAAATTAAACTTAACTATAAACTCTATGCTATAAATAAATATCATATTAAATAATATTAATCTTCATCTAAGTAACTATATACTTAAAGTGCTTGCCATATCTCTTAGTTCCACTCAAGCTGTTTTTTTTTATTATTGGTGAGTCAGTTTGTTTCGTCTCGCACTCGTATCGCGTTTATATACATACATAAATATAGTATATAGTATAGTAAACATGTTTGACGTTAATCTGACAATTATATAAAATGCAATTCCCTTGATAACTGAGCACTTAGTTGGTAGCTTTATCTCTATCATTGTTTCTTTTTTTCCCCATTATATTGTATTTACAATTAGGTTTATCAAGCTATCTATAGATAGATTCTACCATTCTATTCAATTCGTATTGATATATTGTTCATTTACATTTACAGGGTGACTGGTGGCTGGCGCGCAGCAAGAAAACCCGTCAAGAGGGTTATATACCTTCCAATTATGTGGCCAAATTGAAGTCTATCGAAGCAGAACCGTAAGTATTTTTATAATTATATAAAAGTAAATTCAAAAGAAGTCTAGAATAATGCCATAAAATAATGCATTTATATAAATTTATGTCAAATAAGTGTTTAATGAGGATTTTTGAGCTGAGAAGCGAACTTGTTGTACAGGTTGTTATATTTTCAGAAAATACATATTATATCATTGAAACGCACAGGGTGTTTTAGTTGGGAGTGACCGACTAGAAGATACTGTGAATCTTGCATTTTACTATAATATTTATATGTTTGTTTGTTAAAAAAATATATATTTATTATATCTGCATAGCCAAAAGTAATATTTTTTTTTGCATAATATAAAAATATATAAAATATGAAATGATAGCGAAATTGTTTGCGTTAATTCAGCCTGTGCGACAACCAAACTGGCCTTGCGTTGTCATGGTTTTTGTCTTGGCTAAACTGAGACTGCCTGAAAGTATGCAACGTTTTTCACGTCGACTGAAAATTGCTTTCATTTGCATATAAATCTTTTTTTAAAATTTTTTTTTTTTGTTTGTATTTAATTTGCATTCATTCATGTTGTTTTTTATTTATGCTGCTGCCGGGGCAATTGGCAAATGTTTATAAATTTTTTTTATTTGTTGCTATAACAACAAATGTGGTGCGTGTGCCTGGCGTTTATGTATGCTCATTTTCATATATACATACATACATATAAAAAAACATTTTTATATATGACATGCATATTCAACAAAAAATCATAAAAATAACTGACACAACAGCTGCTGCTGCTGCTGCTGCTGCTGCTGTTGGTTAGTTTTGATATTTGATGGAATTCGAATGCTGAGATTTCCTTTTCAAATAAAGCAAAAATAAGAAAAAAGACTAACTATTATATCTGTGTCAATTGGTTCGTAAACAATAGACGCAGTTAATCTTTATTGACTGCAAAATAAATGTTAAAAACGTGCAGGGTAGTTTTTTTATTGTCTGAAAAGATGGTGAAAATGTTGCCAAAAATATTGGTTTAAAAATTTATTAAAATTAAAATTTGCTTTAGCTATCTATCGGCTAGAACATAACATATAAACCATTTATATCTGTGCATTAAATCCTCGTTTGTCTATGCCCAACAAACTCCGCTATAAACTTCTTCTTCTTCTTCTCTTTAAATGATTTCTATAGCATTTACATTATAGATTCTATAGATGTTATAAAAAAATCTTCTATGCAAATCATTTCTTAAAACTATTTAAAACAGTTTAAACTGCCTTGTATCTACCCCATCCATCGCACTACAAAAATCAATGCCCATTCAGTGTAATTAATATCCAATACTTGTCAAGCACTCCTCGCCGACAAAAAGCAATTAAGATTTGATAGTCAACCTTTATGGTCAGGCAGCTGGTTACATATCAATTGTTTATTTTGTTTCTTAGGCCAAATTGTAAACATGCTTCGATTACAGCTCAAACAGTCGGACGTCTCCGAGAAAAAAAAAATTGAATTTATTATTTTAAGTACTTTTGTTCAGTGTTTTGGTTTCCTCGACTCAAATGCTCAATCGTTCTGCTTGGCAATTAAATCGAACGCGTGTCAGTGTCAAGTGTAAATGACTATAAGCGACTAATACCAAATAAAAATAAAGTATAGACTTGACCCAGTTACACGGCTCTCGGGCAAAAGCCCTTAAATGATGAGCACATGTTTTAAGGATTAATTGAGGAGCCTTTTTGACACACATTCCTTGGCCACATGCGGCGGTTGAAGCGCAGCCAGGCAAGAGAAATGCAAATACAAATTCATTGTGCATATTATATGAGCAGACTTAAGTCAGGAGTGCATGACTGGGAAATACCCTAACTGTGAGGTCAAGTTATACACAATTAAAGAAATCGAAAGCGCAAAATGTAAATTATGTCTTCCCTCTAGATCTTATGCTAGCTAGTCTTAACTCTTCCCTTAACTCTTATACCTTCTATCACTTATACTCTCAGCTCTAATACTTTCTCAGCTCTTATACCTTCTACCTACTAACGAGGTAATCTATTACTCTCAGCTCTTATACTTTCTTAACTTATATTCCTTCTTTCCCGCTCTAATACTAACGAGATAATCTGATACTCTCAGCTCTTATACCTTATGCGCTCGAATCTTCTGCTACTCTCAGCTCTTATACTTACTTACCTTCTGTCCTTCCATCTTTCCAGCTCTTATACTACCGAAATAGTCTTATACCGTTTTATATTCAAAAGGAAAAACGAGCTTTACCGCTCTTATACATACTAGCTAGTCTCTGCCTCTTGAACTCTCATATATTTTATAGATACTGATAATGAATTTCAGTTAAATATTGATCCTGATCTCGAAAAATCTACAAGCTTCCTTCTGCCTGTTTCCTACCTGTATATACCCTGTTTGAGTGTTTTAAATAGCTTCAGGGTATCAAAACTGTAAACCGAAAACGAAATGAAACGATGAAAACAACAAAGAGAGCTGCATAAATTAATCGAAAAAGAGATCGATATATAATATAGAAACAGACAGCAATGCATATACATATATATATACATATTTATCTTAATAAGTGGCTGTCTGGGCGTGAGTCCGTAGGGAAAAGTTCATAAAACCGGTAAATCGAACAAAAATACACAACAGAAAAATCGTCTCATTAATTAAATTTATCTCGTGTTTGTGCATAACGGTAAATCTACTCGAGAGACAAGAGACCTGCCCTCGCGCACTCGCTTCTGCTTTCTTCCTCTTTCTCCCTTTACTCTTTCTCTTTCTCTTTCGAACGCCGCGAGCCACTTGCATTTTAATGCAGCGCCTGACTGACAACAACTACTTAACAATGTTTATTTTTAATTGTTTTGGAAATTAAGGAATACCCCTAATCGCGCGTCTCATTTGCTGTTTATCTTAAGCTGAAATGCCCACGCCCAGTGCATTAGTTTTATGCATTTCATGTAGCATTTCTCAAGCCACAATTTCAAGGCCAAACTAACAAACACTCGAAACTGGTTGCCAATATTATTTTGGCCTAATTTGTGGCCAATTGTTGTTGTTGTTGGCTTTGCCTGTTGCTTGCCTTGTTGTCACCATTTAATTGTATGCATAACTCAGCATTACCACTGCGAAATTTCTTGCAATAAATTGCATTTAACCGTAAGCGGGCTACAGGCGACAGCATCCAGAGATTTCTTCTGCGCAATTTCTTTCCATTTCTTTTCTGGTCAATTTGTTCAGCAATTTCTTCTGAGAAGTGTGCCTCTTATTTCTTATTGTCATTCATTTGCATTGCATAATTTAAGCTCTCGTTGACATTAATTTCTGTTGTTCGATTCGTTTTGGTGGTGCAAGCCTCATGCAAATGTTGATTTGGGCTGTACTTCTGTCAAGTCACGAGACTCTTTTTTTTTATTTTCTTGTTAACTATAACTGATAACTGGATCTATGCATATTGATTGGCTGCATTTGGAAATCTATTGCAAGAGCAGCGCCTGAAAATCCAGGGAAAACCCGAAACTCTTTTTAATTATGCATACATTTTCTTATTTGTAACTGCCATAAAAGAAAGTCGTAAACGCGTTAAGTTTGAACAAATCTGAAATTTTAGTTTAGCATTTTCATTACTTTTATTTGAATAAACAATGAGTGTTGAATTATATTCAGAGAATGATAGAAAATTATTACTACGGAATGCAGCACAAAAAAATATTTATTAATCTTAAAATAGATTAATAATTATACGAAATTAAGTGCAGAAAGTTTCTAAGAAAGGAACGCACTTAAGAATTAAAAGAAGTTTATTCCATAAAGGTGAATTGACGAAACGAGTTCTTGGGCAAAAGAACAGAAAAGAAAGAGCAAAAGTGATTCGAACAATCATGCGGACAAAGAAGCCGAGGAATGCGAATGGAAGAGAAACATTTTGTAATTTCTGAAAATTACAGATTAAAGCTGGAGTAGAAGAAACCCCAAGATGGGAATCACAGAGAGAGGCTCGACAATAAAAATTTGAGAGAGGTTGAAGAATTTGAAAGACAGAAATAAGTTGGAGGAAGGTAACAGAAAAGAGAAGCTGGATAATGGAAATGTAGAATGAGCTTTACGGAAAGAAGCTGGCGAATGAAAATTCTAATGAGAAGGTGTTGAGAAACAAAGTCAAAACTCAGACAACAAGAATGACTGAAAGAAGTTAAACTGAGGTCATAAACAAGTGCCAGAATGAGAATCACAACTAGAAGCTAGAGAATGAAAGTTGTAGGAGGAAAGTCGACAAGGAGAATCACAGAGAAAAGCAATAAAATCTGTGGGACCGAGAGAAGTTAGTGAATGAGAATCATGGGAAGAAACTGGAGATAGAGAGACAGAATGGGAAGAATTAGAAGATAAAGCAACACGAAGAAGAACGACAAGGAGATAGAAGGATAGATGTACAAACAGACTCAAAGAGCAGCCCAACAGGGAATTTCAAAAAGAAAATTAAAAGAGATCTAGAAAGATGAGAGAGCTGAAAACGAAATGCCAGATGAATAGAATTTGGAATGATATCTACATAAAACATTCACATTTGATTGATAAGGCACATCAATAATAAAAGATCTTCCACGACTTGGGCTCCAAGCTAACGTTCGCTCAAGTCATAAATATTTCTCCTAGACTAATAATTTCAATGGACCCACCTTTAGCCGCCTAACCTGCCATAGTCATATAATGCCCATGGAATAGGGCGTGGTCTTGGAACAGGTTCATGTCAACAGCCAATTGGCAGCAATAGTTCGTATGCAGTCGTCGATGTGGCGATAGATGTGGAGCCGATGATTTGGAGCTTTTGTGACCTGTGCTGCAGAGCGGACAGAAAGCACAGCAAGTGTTACCTATGTAGGTCAGCAGATGTAGATGGAGCTGGGAATGCGTAAGGGGGAGACATTGAACCGCCTGATGACGTCAGCAAATTGAATTGAAGACTTAAGCAGCGCATTTTGGACCAGTCGAGGCTAAAAACTTGAAAATAATTCCAATG